TATATATATATATATATATATATATATATATATATATATAATATTTTCTTTCTTTACGCCACGGCCACGGGATTGAAATTAAATATGAACGCGTTAATTCGATTCTCTCCCTCCCCTCTCCTTCCCCCCTCCCCCTCTCTTTCTCTTTCATTTTCCCTTTTGTTTCCAGAGTAAAGCGTGATGGCGATGAATTTTTTACACGTATGAACGAGCATCGAGGGCGCGTGATAAAAAAACGCACTTGCGTTTTTTATTTATTCATTTATTTATTTTTTTTTTATTTTTTTCCTTTTTTTTTTTTTTTGTTCTCACTCGCAGCGGGATACATTTGATTAACTTGTTTTAAAACTTTGGAAACCTTGCGTACCATCGCTTTCGCTCGCTTTTGCTCTTTTCTCTCTCTCTCTCTCCCCCCCCCCTCCACTTCGTCCTCCCATCGATCTCCCGTACACGTTCGCACGTTCGATTTTTCGACAGCTTCGAGGCGGATTACCCGCTGCTACTCTACGCCCGACCACGACTATCGGCCAAAAACTAATTCTCTGGTCACGCCGGTTAACGGCTCACGTGCCGCCACTGACGAATCCTCGTCGCTTTCGAGCCGAATGATAAAGCCAAAAGGCAAAAGTTGGTCGGCCCCAACACCAAGGTGAGAGGAAACGTTCCCGGCCTTGATAGTCTTCCGTGAAAACTTTATTTTTCCAAAGTTTTCTTCAGACCGGGTAAAGCTTTGTGGTAAAGAAGTTTCTCGATGTTGTTGCTCGAATATAGGCAACAACAGACGTTAAACACGGACACGTAGAGTTTAAATTGATTTCGATAAACTTTCATCCCGGAAGTTTGGAAAGGTCATCGACGAAGAAAGAACGCGATCTTCGCTTCTCCATTTTTCGAATTCTCGTATTCGGTGCGTAACCGGCTTTAAGACGCTTTAACCGTGGTCTACAGATCCTCTTACGCGTATAAGATGGTAGGAAATTGCGGTAGCATTGGGTAACCGCCTCGGGGGAGTAAGGCGGAGGTAACGCGCGAAACTCGTAGCGGTTCGTAAATTCGTCGATTACCTTAGCGATCAACGATGCACACAAACCCTCTAAGCCCTTGTCGTTGCCTTTTGCTGGAAAGACGTGTGGCATGAGCACAACACGCAGAAGATGGTGGCAGGGGACAACACGGTCGCGCTGGTATCGCCCCTAAAACCGGCGACCTCCTACCACTTTCGGGTGCTAGCGGAAAATCATCTTGGAACATCAGCGCCAAGCGACATCCTTCATGTCAGTATCAAAAAAACATTTCAGCATATCTCAAAAAAAAAAAAAAAAAAAAAAAAAGAAAAGAAAAAAAAGAAGAAAGAAAATTATCATTATATCGCTTATCCATCTTATATTAGACTCGTTAATGATCGAACGTGAACATTTTTTCGCCATTTTGTTTAACGCGTATCGATCGTATTTCTCCTTTCACTCTTCGATCCTCGTGACTCGATCCTGCGCCCAAAAACCACCGCCACCACGGCTACGCCACGGTTGGACGACAACGACAACAACGACAGGCCCAGACCGACGGCGAGATTCCTGGTGGATCGCCCAGACACGTCATCGCCGAACCCTTAGGGCCGCAGCAAGTGAAGGTCACCTGGCAACCACCCGATCGATCCCTGTGGAATGGCGAACTTCTCGGATACACCATCAGCTACGCCAATCTAGGGTATCGTTATCCGTTTAACGGCTGTTTAGAATAGTTTCTAAAGCACACTCGAAGACGATAGAATTTAGCAGGAGAAGGAACAAGCCGATCTCTCGTCGAGCCTTGCCCTATTATTATGCTGATATCCACAATGGACGACGATCGACTCGCGGATAATCGCCGCGCGATTGTTCTCTCCAACCCCCGTAACAGATGTTTCGCGAACGTTTCTCCTCCCCCCGTTTGACGGGCCGTGTCCGATTCTCCTCCTTGTACTTACGATTATTAAATCGGGTTATACGAACGACGAGGCCAATTTGGCCGTATAACGAATCTCGAGGAGGATTTTGCTCGGGGAGGAAAACTTCCGTGGAACTTTAATAATCTCGGCGGGGAGAAGGACAAGACGGATTCGAATAAAATTCATCGTTAACCGTCCCGAAACGATGGAATTTCTCTCCGAGTCTTGGTCCTCGTTGGGATTCTTGGGATTCTCGATTATAATTCGCGAAGAATCGCGCGCCGGTTCGTTAGGCGAGGGGCGGAAACGCGCCCTTCCTTTTCCAAGGAAAGGAAATTTGATATCGGGTTGGAATGGATTGTATATATATATGATTATCGAGGAGGGGAAAAACGTGGAGGGGGAAATCAGGGGACTATTTTTCGCTCCAATTTTCACGGGATGGGTTTAAGTATCGTCGAGTTCCGCGCGTTCCTTCTCGCGCTTTATCTTTCCGCCCCGAGAAACACGGACCGTGGCTTTATTTCAGTGGGAATGATCAATCGGTGAACATCACCAGAGTGGGAATCACGGAAAACGGCGATGGCTCCTACAGGCTAACCGGACTTCGAAAGTACACCCAATATAGCATCGTGGTGAAGGCGTTCAATAATAAAGGAGACGGCCCAGGATCTGACCCGGTCACGGTGCAGACTCTCGAAGACGGTGAGCGAACAACGACATCAAGGTTATTTCCTTTTTCTTTTCTTTTCTTTTTTTTTTTTTCTTTTTTCGTTTCTGTCGTTTTTCTATTCGACGTTGAAAATTTTTCGAAACCTCCTGGTCATCGAATTAATTGCGATTAAATTGCAACTCTGATAAATTATTTCGATTCCATGGTTATTTAATAAATTAACAAAATCTCTCCTGTGTGATGCGACAAAGTGGAACAACGGCTTCTTTGCCCGGAATTCAATCTGAACGTCTCTTAAATGAGAAATAAATCGTATTATCGAATAGAACAACTATATTCTCCCCCTTGGCTCGAGGAATAAAGGATAATCGGAGACTTTAGCGGTATTCGGAGTAATATGGAACGAGATGCGGCGCATTCTCGAGCGTTGATGAGGCTAGAGATTCGTGCCCCGCTGCGAAACGGTGAAATTAATTTTCACGGGTGCAGTTTTACATCCAGAAATCCGCAACAGCACGGAGAAAGGGGATGTAAAAAATTTGCGTACATCTCGCAAGGCGGGGCTCGTTAACCGACATATCTCTACTTTTTAATCGGTTGACCTGTTGTTCCAACTTGTTGAGTTTCACGAAATCTGTGCACAGGATTAACAAAAAAAAAAAAAGAAAAAAAGAATTGTTTCGGAAATCGATCGAATTTTTCGAAATTCCTCTTCCACTCTTTTCTTTTTCCTAAGATCTTCGCGACGAGATACGAAATAACGGGTATAGTTTAGTCCCGTTTCTCGAAAGACGCGAAAAGATCTGTGTCGTAAAGGTGTTGCAAGGGTCGATCAATTCGCGAACAGTGACGGATAGAGAGATGTCCAGGTCGCGAAACATTCCGCCAAACATCGAATCGAGGTTCAAGTTTGAACGAGTTTAACGGGGAGTGGCCGCGATGCATGAAATCCGTTCAACGCTCGCGCCATTTCCGTGGTCCGTTCCTCTCGAAACAATGGCGCCGCTTAATTGCGCGGTTTCCTTTGCCAACACTCGAGGAAACAGTCGAAACGCATTTTCCAACAAAGGAAATGTCGCTCCACGACAATACTGCCTCCATCTGTTCCGTTCGTGTAAAGAAAAAAGAGAGAGAAAGAGGGAGAGAAAAAAGAAAATTTGTAACAACGTTTCGACAGTTATACATATATATATTCGAACAAGAACAAACTTCAGTTGGGCGAGTTTACTCGAGAGGAAAGCGGAAATGCTCGGCGTTCCTCCCCGCTTTGCTCGTCGACGGTGGGAATTCGAGACGGATAACCATCGAACGAGCTTTCTCGAGGAAGAGGAATGGCCTTTCGCGCAAACCGCGGCCGCAGAGCGATGGACACAACGCGCGTGCCACGTTTGACACTTGACCCAGTGGAAAAACTTGCGCGCTGTTAACGAGACAGCCGAGTCGTGGCAAACATCGCGCACAACAACACGTCGTTTTCGAATAACGAGCTCGGGCAAAAGCGAAGACAGATCGATCGCTCCTCCACTCCTCCTCCTTCTCCTCCTCCGTCTCTTCCTCGCCTCGTTTCAAGAAGTTGCCACTCGGGGGGATTCTAGCCTTCCAATCAGCAACGCAAAAACAATCCACTCGACACCAGTTTACCTCTCTTCTCTTTGTCCTCGAATTTCCTCTCGAAACTGAAAACTCCCTAGTCGCGCCATTTGCGCGCATCGGTAACCAGAGACCCGCGGACTCTCCCCTCGTCGCTTCCGCCCCCGCTCGAATTTCCACAGATACTCTCCCTTACTCGCCATCCTTCCCTCCACGAAACATTAATTTTTTATTCTCGACCGATTCACGATTGCCACGATTTTATGACGCAGTTCCAAGCGCCTCGCCGCAGAACGTGGCGTGCGCCGCGCTGACCGGGCAGAACATCCAGGTGACCTGGAAACCGCCGCCTTCCGACAAAGTTCACGGGGTCGTTCAGGGGTACAAGTTGCTGTACGAGGCGGGGAGCGCGGTTCTGGAGCAGCAGGCGGGCAGAGAGACGAAGATCAGCCATGCATTGAGCACCGTTCTGCACGGACTTAGCCCGTACACCAATTACACGGTGCAGGTGCTCGCCTACACCAGAGCCGGGGAGGGTGTCACGAGCAGCCCTGTGTCCTGCACCACCGAAGAAACTGGTAAACCATTTGCTCGCTGTCGAGTTTCCTCTCCCTCTGCGCCAGACAAACGAGCGACAGCCACGAGCAAACAGAAGTAAATTTTCCACGCGTCCACCGGATCGGGAAAGAGAGAGAGAGAGAGAGAGAGAGAGAGTAGTGTG